CAATCACTCATATGATAAGCTCCGCTCGACAAAGTCGATAGCGGAGCTAACAAATCTGAGAGAGGTCCACATGTAGTACCTATATATGTAGTATCAAAGCAATTGGACTTGCGGTTTTTAACAAGAAGTCGAAAATATCACTTTTTACCAAAAATGACAAAAATATTCACCAAAATTAGAGAATTGAAGATATCATCACGAAATGAACAAATCTGAGAAAGGTCTACATGTAGTATCTATATATGTAATATCAAAGCAATTGAACTATTGGTTTTTAACAAGAAGTCGAAAATATCACTTTTTACCAAAAATTACAAAAATATTCACCAAAATTAGAAAATTGAAGATATCATCACGAAATGAACAAATCTGAGAGAGGTTCACATGTAGTACCTATATATGTAGTATCAAAGCAATTGGACTTGCGGTTTTTAACAAGAAGTCGAAAATATCACTTTTTACCAAAAATGATAAAAATATTCACCAAAATTAGAGAATTGAAGATATCAACATGAAATGAACAAACCTAAGAGAGGTCTACCCAAGGTACATATACACAAAGTATCAAAGCATTCAGGCTTGTATTTTTCAAGAAGAAGTCGAAAAAGTAAAACATTGACACGGACAACGACGACGACGGACAATCACTCATATGATAAGCTCCGCTCGACAAAGTCGACAGCGGAGCTAAAAAAAATGGCATCCCAAAAAATTGGATAAATTTAAACCAAAAATTACATATCAATCATCACTCTGTATTGCTTTCTTCATTAATGAATGTGCGATCGGTATGAACCATGATTATTATTTTATCTCTTGATTACATGTGAGAAAGATTGCACTGGTCTAGACAAAACATTGATGCTTACCCGTTGTGCAAAATACTTTACTACTGTGCTCATGGCATCAAAACCAGTAAGCCCATTTTTCAACTGCAATTTCATGATTGTTAATTCTTTGGTTCTAGCTTCACATAAGGCTTCTAATCGCTCTACTTCTTTTGACACATTTTCAGCGGCAATGGTCGCTGTTAGCAAATCTGGTTGACTGCTGGATGCAGGTGTTGCAGTAGATGATGGTGGTTTCACTTTTAAAGGTCTGCTCTTCTCTCTACTGTGATCTATGAAGAAAGACTTTTTAAAAGAGCAGTGGTCGACGCACTTTGCATGTTTGAATTCCATGTAAACAAACAATACATTTCGTACACATTGTGTACGTTGCTATAAGTCCCATATCGAACAGGACACATGGCAACCACCGCTCTTTAACAGATTTTAATTGTTCAACATAATTTTGCTCTGAACCAGAATTTTTCACAACTCTGTATTTTTCTGAATTTTCAGGTATGAACCAGGTATGAATACTGGTAATGCATGAGTTATGTTATTGCATTGTGTTTAGTATGGGGGTTATGTGACACACACAATGAATGCAAACACATTACACTGAAATTCAATGTGCAAAGAGTGATATGCTTTACTGGAAACAACTGATTCTGCTCCACATTTTTTTATGATTGCTCATTAACCACTCACTGTCACCTATTGAATAATATCTGGCATTCAGTGACCTTCCAGAAATTGAAACAAGGCACATTCCTTCCTAAATACTGATGAAAACCACAGATACATAATCTAAATAATTTTCATTCTAATGTAGTGTATTAAATATATTTAATTTGCATAATACTGGGTGGACAGCTGCTAAAAAAATACTCTTATTCAGACTTAATTAGTAATAATAACTAGTGACTATTCAAAACTGGGTCTTGAAAATAAATAACTTACATAGAGGGAAACATGAACATTGTGCACTAACCATATTCCTCATTTTAACAAAACTAACCAGGATACGCACCATTGGTACTCTGTACCACCAATCACCATATGGAGGTATAGTAAACATGATACAAATATTACCATGTTCAACCAGGGACAATACAGTAGGATGTATTGACATAACACAAACAATACTATACATTCAATGAGTCAATACAAGTCTGCAGTGTATAATGCAATGTTATTCAAAACATGTGGACATGTTTTTAGAACTTTCTGGTATAATTTATTATATCATCCTTGCTAAAACAAATTATTATTAATTCTGTTCTCACTCAGACTTGATGAAAATGTATAATGTTGTATTGCTGGTATTGCTTATATGAGTCAGAACAGTTAAAATAAGGTATGACATGTTGAGACAAGTACATTATTTTCACTTTAATAGTCCGAATTGAATGAAAAACAGGAGAAATTGTTGTCATGAATATTGCCCTGACACATATGAGAAAAATAAATAGAATTTTGGCTCACTTATTATCCAAGGTGTGTTTCTTCTATTGCAGGAATATGATAGGAACATTTTGTTCTCCAGTGGATTTAGAAACCAGCCAATAATATGGACCACACAGGGGTGGAAAATTTGTGTCAAAATCAATATATTTAATACTACCAGTGGTAATTGATCTAACATACTATAAAGCCTCCATTTTACACAGCTGTACAGGAAACCCATTTAATCTTATGCACAGCAGGACAGTAATACAAACTATACACTATACAGGTTAGCTACGCATCAGTAAATAGCAAACAAACAAACTCAAATAGGACTCTTAAAACAAAAAAATCCACCAAAAATTAAATTTACTAGTGAAACCTACAGGGACTGTAACTTGGATAAGTGCCAGTGCAATGATGAATGAGAATAAAAAATGTAATCAGCCAGCAGTGACATTAATATTTATAGACTATACGGAAAATGAAAGCACAATGACTGTTTTTTTAAAAACTAAAATAAGAAAGCAGAAATAATATATAATACTGATCACAAAATTTAGGATTTGGTTACATTTCCTTGAAATTTAGCAAATCTAGACCAATATTGCCGGGTAATCTCACTGATGAAACACTCACACAATTGATGACAGATTCAGCAATTTTTCCCACAGGAAAAAATATCTTGACAAAACAAAGAAACATAATTATTATAATGAGCAGAAAAAAATAAACACTGGAACTAGTACAATAAAATATTAATGAAGATATTGATGAAAAATATGGATGAATGAGATAACCATACCAATATTAACCTTTGTCCATTTGCCAGAAGTGCGAATATAAAGTTTACTGAGAGCACCTTTAGTGCTGAGTCTGATTCTGAGATGAATCGTGGAAAGCGATAATCTTGGTCTCCACAGCTGCATTGTAGTGATGTATATAAAACACTAGTCTACTCTATGGGGCCTCAATACTGTATGTCTGCTAGTCAGACAGCGGAGTTCATCTCATTAATATATCTTGTATGCAGTGCCAAATGGGAACAGGAAGATACGGTGTAATATGATCCTGAGTTACAGTACAATCAGTGGGAATCAGCTGCTAATACACAGGAAGTACCAATACACAAACCAAATGTTTCTCCATGCCTGTGATATCATCATTAAGATATTTGAAACAAAATGGCTAACCATTGGCAAGTTAGGGGAGCCTTCTCTCACCCCCCCCCCCCCCTCCATCACAAATAAAACAACACACCTGTCTATCAACATAAATAAATCTTCATCCTATGAGCAAGACATGATTCTTTGATTAATATATTGGCTTAAAATTACAAAATTTTGACTGAAATTTTATCTAATAAACAATATATCAATAAATTGATGTTTGGATAATATATATTATGTAAATACTGATCAACATAATGTTTTTTTTTACAATTGTGAAAATGCAGGCACATCAAAATATTAACAAACCAAAAAAACATAGTTGAACTCTGGTGACCTTGCCCTTTGTTATATAATATAATTCCCTTTATCATAGTTTGTTTCAATATAAATATGCATTGTCATAATTAATTTTGAATACAAACAAGTTTTGGGGTTGAACCAACAGTGGGGAATCAGTCTAACGAATGTCCTTAAAAGATGTAAATATCTTACAAAAACATTGGTGCCTTATTTGTTTAATTATTTTAAGGAACATAATTTCCAGCTTTATTCAAAGTAATTCAGATATTTTAGGATAAAAACAAATGTCTCATTGCAAAAAAAAGTGCTGCATTTAGATGTGAATAGATTCATAAAACATGCAAGATAACAGAACAAGCAGCCTGTCGGCTGAGATAGCTCCGCTGTTAGCAATGCACATTTCGATTAAAGAACTGAAGACATCATTAGAAAATGAACAATATGCATAGTATCAATGCAATGGGACTTGCTGTTTTCAACAAGAATTCAAAAATATCATTTTTGACCATAAATGATTGTGGTTTTTAACAAGAAGAAAACATCATTTTTTACCAAAAACGACAAAAATATTCATCAAAATTAGAGAATTGAAGATATCATGAAATGAACAAATTTGAGAGTGGTCCATATGTAGTATCTATATATGTAATATCAAAGCAATTGGACTTGCAGTTTCTAACAAGAAGTTGAAAATATCACTTTTTACCAAAAATGACAAAATATTCACCAAAATTAGAAAATTAAGATATCATTATGAAATGAACAAATTTGAAAGTG